CAAATGCGACACATGAAAAGAAATTGTCAGAACTTCTACATAAGTTCTCAATCAAAGATACAGGTTTATTAGCAACATCTAAAAAGCCCCTTTCCTAGTTCAGAGAGAATTCCTAATGCATAGAACGATCTTTGCCATTGAAAATAAATCACCTTTATGAGGAAAGAACTTCTATCTGAAAGTTCCTGTCCTTTAATGTATTGCTTATAAACCTGGACCTTAATGGAGAACTTACCAAGAAGAAATGATGATCTTTTCTGCTCAGTTTCTCTGGTCAGGTTCATTGGCTTGGTGGGTATATACACACCTTCCTTGCCGGTGGCTGTGTGCTGTGTCCAGCTACTCTGTGTATGAGATTGCTGTTGTCTTATAACCTATTACTGACCCAGTTTGCCCGACTCTGTTCTCGTCTTTGGCCCCTGTTGCCAATTCAGTGTATCACCTGCTGCTTGCTTCCACCTTTGCTTGGACCCAGTCTACTCTCTTGCCTGCTGCTTGCCTCAACCTCTATTTGAACCTTGACTACTCTCTTGCCTGCTGCCTGCCTCAACCAGTATATTGACTATTTTCTCAACTGCCACTTACCATGACCATTGCTTGGACACCAAACTGCTGTTCCATCCTGTCTCCTCAATGAAGTCACTCTGCTCCTTTGACCCCTTAGTGGGAAAACCCGGTGATCACAAGCTGAAGACAGCTTGCAGCAGAGTAGCCTGGAGTCCACTAGGATTATCAGACCATCATTCCATATGGGATGCTCTAGTGAAGATGAAGCTGTCATGTAGACACCTCAACTTAAGGGAACCTGCATTACCTGCCAGGAGTGTGACCCATAATACCAGGCAATATGGCATCTCTCACTCTCATCTCTCAGTGCCATAATGATATCATAAACATAGATCACATATATATTTGCCCCTACCCTGTGCTTAGCAGCAGCTATCATTAAGTTGTCCAACTATAATATAAGACTGTCCAAGGGACCAATAAAAAGCAGCACTTCACGTCATGGACAGTGTTGGTTGAGTTGCAATATATTGCAAAGCAAGCCCCGGCTTGACTAAGGTAGGGGTCTCCAATGCATTCTGTTTGGTTGCGACATCTGCTCAGCTGTATAATTTGTTGATTGTAAGAGTGATGACAGAAAGAATCACAATAAATCATTGCTCAGCATGATGGTAATGGTAGCAACAGAAGTAGCAATTTTAAAATCAATAGTAATACTGCTAATATCATGTCATTCTCAACAATGTATCATACACATAAAACACTACCTGTCTGTATATGAACATTATATGCACCTAGGAGCTTTACAATTCCATGAGCCTGAAATATAATATAAGAGGCATTGATAATTACATATGTGGCACGTTTAATGCATTGAGAAAAACTGGAGATGTGGTCAAAATATCAAAAGATTTTGGCAAAATTTTGCCTTTAAAGTAAAATGTAGTTTAGTCAACATGGCAAGTGAAGTTAAGGTGATTTTTAAAGATACAATTGTGTTGCTCTCGAAATTTTTGTGATTTTGTTATAGCATACATATATGGAATAACACATTTTAGCTACCATCTAGAATCCTAAAGCTTGGCTTCATCTATTCATATACTAATTCACTTGTTTAACTGGTTCATGAAGGCTAGTAAAATAGGAAGTGATGATGACAGGAAATATGAGGAAGCAAGAAATGAGATAACACAGCCATGTGCTGAACAGAGAATGGGGAGTCCTGAGCAGCAGCATATTTACCAGGAGGCAAACAAGGCGTTTGTTGGGAAGCAATTTTCAGGGGGGCAGTTCTGCCCCCTGGAAGAAGGGGCCCAAGTGGCAGGAATGGGGACCTGGTCAGCTCTGCCATGAGATCCGAGAAGGCTGCATGCTGCTAGAGGGTGCGGGAATGGCCGACTGCTTCTTTCATTCCAGAGGTTGAGGTTAGTGCTTGAATTGGGTGGTGGTGGCAGAGGGGGGCAGTGGGGGATTGCTGTGATGGACTGTGGTGGTTGGGGAGATATGCAGGGATGGGGGGGTGCTGGATTTTAGTGTCGCCTAGAGCAACATGAACTAAATACACCACTGGTCTGGACCTGAGTAGAAGAAAATTCTGTGCCAGAAGGGGCCTGGATAGAAGGAAGCGGACTCCATAACACTGAGAAGACCTGGATAGAAGGAAGAGGCCACCATAACACTGAGAAGACCTGGATAGAAGGAAGAGGACTCCATAACACTGAGAAGACCTGGGATAGAATGAAGAGGACTCCACAACACTGAGAAGACCTGGATAGAAGGAAGAGGACTCCATAACACTGAGAAGACCTGGACAGAAGGAAGAGGACTCCATGACACTGAATAGATCTGGATAGAAGGAAGAGGACTCCATAACACTGAAAAGACCTGGATAGAAGGAAGAGGACTCCATAACACTGAAAAGACCTGGATAGAAGGAAGAGGACTCCATAACACTGAGAAGACCTAGAATAGAAGGAAGAGGACTCCATAACACTGAAAAGATTTAGGGGGCTACATAACATCAAGGAAATTCTGTGCCAGAGGGGACTTTGTAAGAACAAAGAAGGAACTTCACCTGGGGAGGACAGTAAATCTACACTATGAGAGCACCCAGCAGTGGCAGAACTACCATTGTCACAAAGGCCTGGTGTTCCGCTGCCATGGGGGGCCCCAAGACAGAAGGAAGGGGTCAGCTGCAGAACATGTGAAAGGGTCCCACTGTGGAACAGGAATAAATGCCTGTAAGATGGAAGTAAAGGTCACTGGGATAGGTGGGAATGGCCCCAGGCTTGGAGGGACGTGCCCTGGGACAAGAAGAAAGGACCCCAGGTCCAGTGGGGGGGGACCCTGGACCACTGGCAAGAGCCCCAGGACCAATGGAAAGGGCCCCTGGACAAGGTCAGGAGGACCCTTCATGGTTTCTTTCATCGGGGCTCTGAAGGTTCTAGTTACACTTCTGGCACCCAGTTCCCAGCAATTGCTTCAATAGCCGGAATCCTGTTTATTATGGAAATTGCAAACTATAACCCAAGTTATGTAACTTTTCAATTTATCTCTATTTCTTACAGACCACTGTCAAAGCTCATTTACTAAGAAGGTTAGATAGCGTGTGCATGTGCGTGTTGTGTGCATATTTGTAATACTCTGTACATTATGTCTTGTACTGTTTTCCTGCAATTGTAAGCAGCTTGTATGTACAGCATTCTTGTTTAATAAAAGCACATTAATATACTACAGGGGTTGTTGCTTCCCTGCTTTACTGCAAAATAACCTAATAGATAAAAGCAAAACAAAGGGCTTGAAAATTTCCTTAGGATTACGGAAGCTCTTTTCACCTCTCCAAGACCTACTCTTGTGCCAAAAATGTCCCCTCATTAGCCTCATTATTTTACATTTTTTTTCACAGACAGAAAAAAATTATATAAAAAAATTAAAAGCGAACGTACACAACAACTAAATAAAGGAAAAAGAACAACACAAAAAAAGACATATGCTACTATAGCACAGTGTTCAGGATGAAGCAGTGTGGAGCAGGGGCAGACTGACCATTTGGAAACTCTGGCACTGCCCGAGGGCCCAGGGTCAGTAGGGGGCCCCATGAGATGCCCCCGGTACCTTTTTCATAGGCTTTTTTGAGCTTGGGCAAGGACACAGGGGCCCCATGATCCCCTATTGCCCGGGGGCCCCATAAGTTGTCAGTCCGCCCCTGGTGTGGAGTAAGTAAGATACAGGGCAAAGTTTAGGATGGAACAATGTAGAGTATGTACAGTATAGCAGAGTGTCCTGAATGGAACAGTGTGAGGTATGTAACATATAGCACAGAGTGCAGAGTGGATCAGTGTGGAGCATGTAACATAATGCTCAGTGTTGAAAGTGGAACAGTATGGAACATATAATGTATAGTGCAGTGTTTAGAATGAAAACATGTGGTGTAGATAACATACACCACAGTGTTTGGGATGGGAAAAGTGTGGTGTACGTAAAGTACAGCAGAGTGTACAGAATGGAACAGTGTGGGCTATGAAACGTATATCACAGAGTTCAGAATGGAACAGTCAGCATGGGGTATGTAGTGTACTATACATTAGTGTTCAGAGTTGAATATTGTCGAACATGTAAGATGCTACACAGTGATCAGAGTGGAACAGTGTGGAGAATGTAAAGTATAGCACAGTAGCCAGAATGGAACTATGTGGAGTATGTTACATAATGCATTGCGTTTAGGACGAAACAGTGTGGAATATGTAAAGTATAAAATAGAACAGAACAGTGTGGGTTATGTATAGCACATATCATATAGCACAGAGTTTTGAGAGGAATAGTGTGGAGTATGTAATGTACTGTACAGCACAGTGTTCAGATTTAAACAGTATGAAACATGTAACATATTGTAGTGTTAAGAGTGGAACAGCACAGATAATATAATGTATAGCACAGTGTTCAGGATGAAACAGTTTGGAGTAAGTAACATACAGGGCAAAGTTTAGGATGAAACAATGTGGAGTATGGAGTAAAATTTAACAGAGTGTCCTGATTGGAACAGTGTGAGGTATGTAACAGTGTGGAGCATGTAACATATTGCACAGTGTTCAAAGTGGAACAATATGAAACCAATAATGTATAGCACAGTGTTCAGAATTAAACCATGTGGTGCATGTAACATACAGCACAGTGTTTGGGATAGAACAGCGCAGAGTATGCAATCTACAGCACAGTGTTCAGGATGAAACGGTGTGGCATACATAAAGGACAGCACAGTGTACAGAATGGAACAGTGTGGGCTGTGCAACATATATCACAGAGTTCAGAATGGAACAGTCAGTGTGGAGTATGTAGTGTACCATATATCAGCGTTCAGAGTTAAATAGTGTGGAACATGTAAGATGCTGCACAGTGTTCAGAGTGCAGCAGTTTCAAGAATGAAAAGTATAGCACAGTAGCCAGAATGGAACCATGTGGAATATGTAACATACAGCCAGGGGCGGACTGACAACTAATAGGGCCCCCGGGCAATAGGGGATCATGGGGCCCCTGTGTCCTTGGCCAAACTCAAAAAAACCTATGAAAAAGGTACCGGGGGCATCTCATGGGGCCCCCTACTGACCCCGGGCCCTTTTTCTTTGTTAAGGGAAGGGTGTCTGCATTAGCATATTCTTATTTTTATATTTTTAGCATTGACGGTGTTGATGTGTACTACCTGCTGTGTGCACTGCCCCCCCCCCCCCCCCCCCCCCCCCCCCGTGCGTTACCCCCTTCAGACATTTCTCCTAGCTACCAAGGGCCACCACCTATCTACATTGAAGTCTGTTTTTAGTGAATAAGACTAGGAAATGAAAGTTGATATTTTTGGAAGATTCTGAGTTTGCTGCTTGTCCTGTGTGTGTTCTAACAAGCCTGAATCCGGATTGGTAATTGACAAACTGCGATCACAGGGAGTGATTTTAGACCGACATTATCAGCATGCTCCATCCATACGTATTGTGGCTGCAGTGACAAAATATTTCCTTGCCACTTTCGGTCCTGCGGTGATTCTATTTTCATGTTCTCCATTGGATTCCCTGCTGCTTAAAAGAACAAAATAACAATGTTTTTTTAGCATCAGCTCCCCACATGCCTGTGTTCCAGTACAACACCCTAAAGCAAAGAAAACAGAAAAAACTATTACCTTAGAGGAGCCCTGAGGCTAGGTTCACACTACTGCACAAAAACATAGGCTTCCTGACATGCACAGAAATACACTGCGCTTTAGCAGATGTGCAGCGGTGCCATTCGTTGTCAATGGGGCTCCCATGCATCTGCTAATGTGCACATTTCCGCATGCGCCAAACCGCATGATGCCGCACTGCCATATTGTTCAGTACAGCACTTTTTTGGAAAAAGGTTAGGGACTTCTTTTCCATTAAACTGCCCTTCAAGCGATGCATAGGATCACACAAAAAAAACACATGGAAACGCATGCTTGCTCGGTCGCACCTGTAGGTTAAAGTGATGGGTAGAATTTTTTTTTTTAACCACTTGCCCTCCAGAGGATTTACCCCCCTTCCTGACCAGGCCATTTTTTGTGATACAGCGCTGCTTTACTTTAACTGACAATTGCGCGCTCATGCAATGCTGCACCCATTGAAATTTATGTCCTTTTTTTCCCACAAATAGAGCTTTCTGTCGTATCTGATCGCCTCTGCATTATTTTTTTTTTGTTGCTCTATAAACAAAAGACCGACACTTCTGAGTAAAAAAAACCAATATTTTTGACATTTTGCTATAAAACATGTCCAGTAAAAAAATTTGAAAAATCAAATTTCGGCATAAATTTAGGCCAAAATGTATTCTGTGACACGTCTTTGCTAAAAAAAAAAAAAAAAAAAATCCCAATACGTGCAAATTAATCGGTTTACATGAAAGTTATAGGGTCTACAAATGGCAGTGTATATAATGGGATTTTTTTTTTTATGCCAGTAATGGTGGCGATCAGCAACTCATAGCGGGAGTGTGGTGGGCATTCTGACACTGGGGGGGAACTAACTAACTGTCATTGAAATCCGCAGTGACACTAATACAGTGATCAGTGCTAATAAAAAGCACTGACACTACACTAATGACACTGGGCAGGAAGGGGTTAACATGTGGGGTGATCAAAGGGTTAACTGTGTGTGAGTTTTACTGTGTAAGCATGCTGCTTGTATACTCTACTATGCACAGCCTTTCAAAGCAGTGTGCAGCAGCTGACAGAGGAGAGATCTGTATTGTTTACATACAGACCTCTACCCCATCAGTGATAAACGGCGATCGTCGGGTGCCGGCAGCGAATCACAGGCTGGGACCCAGTAATCGACAGCTGAGGCCGCAAATGGTGGTGCGGGTAGGACACATGTGTGCCCCCTACCCGGAAATGCGAAATCATGTATATACAGTTGCAAGAAAAAGTATGTGAACCCCTTGGGATTACGTGGAGTTTTGCATGAATTGGGCATAAAATGTGCTCTGAACGTCATCTAAGTCACAACAATAGAAGAACACAGTCTGCTGAACATAATACTACACAAACATTAGATGTTGCCATGGTTTAATTGCACATAACATGTAAACATTCACAGTGCAGGGAGGAAAAAGTATGTGAACCTTTGGACTTAATAACTGGTTGACCCTCCTTTGGCAGCAATAACCTCAACCAAACGTTTCCTGTAGTTGCAGATCAGACCTGCACAACGATCTGGAGTCATTTTGGACCACTCCTCTTCACAAAACTGTTTCAGTGTAGCAATATTCTTGGGATGTCTGGTGTGAATCGCTCTCTTAAGGTCATGCCACAGCATTTCAATCGGGTTAAGGTCAGGACTCTGACTGGGCCACTCCAGAAGGCGTATTCTGTGCTGTTGCATCCATTGTTTTGTTGAATTATGGGTCATTGTCCTGTTGCATCACCCATCCTCTGTGGAGCTTCAGTTGGCAGACAGATGGTCGTATGTTTCCTGCAAAATGTCTTGATAAACTCTGGAATTCATTTTCCCATCAATGACAACAATCCGTCCAGGCCCTGAGGCAGCAAAGCAGCCCCAAACCATGATGCTCCCTCCGCCATGTTTTACAGTGGGGATGAGGTTTTGATGTTGGTGTGCTGTGCCTTTTTTTCTCCACACATAGTGTTGTGTGTTCTTCCCAAACAACTCAATCTTGGTTTCATCTGTCCACAGTATATTTTGCCGGTAGTGCTGTGGAACATCCAGGTGCTCTTTTGCAAAAATCAAGCAAAGGGTTGAGGAAGGCAGCTGGCAGGAGATTGGTCCATGTAGAGGCAAAGAGTCAAGGCAGATGGCAAGCAAGAGCCTAGCGAGGGACCAAATAGAGGTCAAGGCAGGCAACAGGCAAGAGAGAAGTCAGGAACAATCTGGATAAGCAATGGTCAGGCAATCCCTATAACTATTTGACCTGGGGTAGCTGGTGAGAGGACACAGCACCAGCCACTTCAAAGGCTGGTGCTTAAATACCCTTCCTGGTTAAAGGAGACACCCAGGTTCCTTTTTTACTGAACCTCTAGAACAGGGGTGTCAATTGCAATTTCACTGCGGGCCGCATCAACATTAGTGTTGCCTGAAAAGGGCCAGTTGTATCAGACAGAGTGCAGGGTTCAGTTCTTTCACAGGCTGTCCACATCTCCCTTCCATCCCTCCTTCTCAACTTTGACCTCTGCACCACTCTCCACGTACAGGCTAAGAAAAAGCCCTGGGTGCAAGGGCCACATGAAATGGCCTGGTGGGCCAGATTCGGCCCCAGGGCCTTGTGTTTGGCACATGTGCTCTAGAAGTTCAGGCAGTTCCTGTGAGTACTAATGGATGTCCCAGCGTAGCAATTCGAGCCACGATTCTCAAAGTATCGTTACATAAGTATAGTCTCCTCTAATTCAGGAGACGTGCAGCATTGTTACCACCATATCAGAGGAGGCTGAATTAGGTGAACCTCACTGGCAATATCAACATGTATATGAGGGCCTGTGTTTACGGGGCCTACTTCTCCCTAAGCGGCACCCTTCGCGAATGCACCCAGGAACAAGACAGGAGCCGCAATCATGGAATCAGCATTAAGATGGCACCCCAGACTTAGACACGAGCCATTTGCTTTGCACAGATACACCCAACATACAAAGCACTTTACTGTGAAGCACTTTTCCCGTGACACCATACAGCTTCCTTCCTGAATGTAGCATTTTGAGAAGACATCTTGAAGCCTGTGTTCCTCTCCACCAGCTCATCCATATCTTGCCACTCTCTGTGAAAATGCAGAACAGAGTTAACTCCTTGTGGATCCACTTCTCTCTCTCTCTCAGTACCTCTAGCTAGGTCCATAGGTTCCTTGCACAATAATATTGGTCCCAGTAGTGTTTTGGGCACCAAAGCTAGGGAGGGGGTCAGACCACCAACCCCCTTGCTACCAGGGGACACTGTCACACCTGCCTGGTACCATCTTTCCGCTCGCTGACTGCTATAGCATTCCCACCAGGCCTGGTTACTTATAACAACAGCATGTTAGACACCTTTCTGTCAACTCCATTGTACAATTAACCCTTTCATGGTGGCTCTTTTACTTCTCCTCTTCATACCCTATGATGTTACAGGCCCCGTTTTTATGGATACACAATGTACCTTAATGCACCCCTTTTAAGAACCTCAGACCAGGCATTTTATAACTTAGAGATCATTTACTGAAAGTTCTTTCAAATACAGGGTAACAGCTCACAAATTTTCTCAATTCATTGCAGACAAAATTCCAGTTCATTCTAACTAACTAGGATAACTCAGGCTTTTTCAGACTAATTCAGGCTGCCCATGTCATAAAGGAAGAGTCCTCTAATCAGAGTCCATGTTCTGGCTTTAATTCACCCAACTGGGTACCCCAAAAGGGTGGCCATATGTTCCTAGAGATGCTACATCTTGCAGCAGGGCTTTCCACTTGTTCACATGTGGAAGGGCCTCTTCTCCAACAGGTTACCTCCACATGAACACCTACTTAGCAACCTTAGCCCTTCCTACCGCTTGGGCAGCCTCACTAACACAGACTTTACTACAATACAGTGCAATACATTAATATAACATGATGTGCACCCAAAAAGTAGGCACCTGCATGCATGAACAAGGGAAAACTGTAAGTACAGATGATGTAATAATTAAGTGCGGCAGCACATGCAGGCGGAGCTCGGTTTACGAGTGTAATGCATTCTACGGGACTTTTCGTATTGCGAAAAATTGGTAAACCAAAAGGAATGCATTGAAAACCAATTATTCCGTTCCAGAGGTCAGAAAAAAGTTTAAAAAAAAAGGTATTTTATCTGTTCAAAACTCTTTATAAAGTGCACTTTAAAGGAATAATACTGTACAGGGACATGATTAAAAATTAATTCGTAAATGCATTGAAAACCAATTAATCCGTTCGTATTGCAAAAAAAAGCCATAAATGCTTTGAAAACAAATGAATCCGTTACGGAGGTCAGGAAAAAGTAAAAAAAAGTCTTATCTGTTCAAAACTCTTTATAAAGTGCACTTTAAAGGTATAGTACTGTTCAGGAACATGATTAAAAA